CCTGACACTATAAAACATCTAGCAGAGATAAACATGACCTTCCAGCTGGGACATGGAAGTACGCTAATGACTCTGAAGACATTTTCATTTTTAGTTTAGCAACCAAATTAGGCTAACTTGTTTATTGAAAGATTATTTTTTATGTGAACACAAGGCATTTGATTTAATTCAACACTGTTAGTTTATATGTTCTCTCAACTATAAACTTTTGGCTGAAAAGAAGCTATTAGAAGATTTTGTCATGTATGTAGATACATTTAATATGCACATGAAAGCGACACATGTAAACAAACACATACGTATGCTCTTTTGCTTCTAGTGGTGAAATAGAGCAATACAGTAATAGAAATTTTCAAATTCAGAAGAAGACTGTATGTAGCCTAGGTTGATCTCAATTTTGCAATCCCCCTGCCTTAGCCTCTGGAATATTGGGACTGCAGGCATCCCTGACCACCATTTTTTAAAAATCTTTTTAAAAAGATTTTATTTATTATGTGTACAGTGTTCTTCCTGCATGTACACCTGCAGAAGAGGGACCAGATCTCATAGATGGTTGTGAGCCACCATGTGGTTGCTGGGACTTGAACTCAGGACCTCTGGAAGAGCAGTCAGTGCTCTTAACCTCTGAGCCATCTCTCCAGTCCCTGACCACCATTTTTATGCACTCAGTGTTTGGATAAAAAAGTTCTAATGGGGACGGGGAGAGGATGAACCATATGTGACCTTTTGTTTTGTGTCTGTCTTCTTTTCTTATCGTATGTTTTTAAGATTTGTTCAAGTTGCCGGGTGGTGGTGGCTCACGCCTTTAATCCCAGCACTCGGGAGGCAGAGGCAGGCGGATCTCTGGGAGTTCAAGGCCAGCCTGGTCTACAAGAGCTAGTTCCGGGACTGGCACCAAAACTACAGCGAAACCTTGTCTCGAAAAACCAAAAAAAAAAAAAAAAAAAGATTTGTTCAAGTTAAATCAGGAGGTGGTGGTGCATGCCTTTAATCCCAGCATTCGAGAGGCAGAGGCAGAGAGGCAGAGGCAGAGGCAGACAGATCTATCTCTGTGAGTTCTAGTCCAGCCTGGTCTACAGAGCTAGTGCCAGGACAGCCAGATCTACACAGAGAAACCCTGTCTCAAAAACAAAGCAAAACAAAACAAAAAAAGATTTATCCAAGTTATGGCTTGAGTTGATACTTTGTTTTATGACCGAACAATACCCTATTGTGTGTCTATAGCTTGGTTATCTGCTTCTCTATCTATTGGTGGATATCTAGGCTGGCCTACCATTTGATGTTAAGTTTCTGTAAACATTGTGGACAAGTCTGTGTAGACATGTTTTCATTTCTTGTCTACACAGGACTGGAATTGCTGGGTCACATATTATTCCATGTCAAACTTTTTCACAGCAAGTATCTCTTTGTTTTGTCTCCTAGCAATATGTGAGGGTTTCAATTTGTCTTTTATCAGTGCTAATTTCCTGTTCATTTCTTTTGTTTGTTGAAGTTTTTAAGCTATTGTTCCTACTGGGAATAAAATGACAAAATATTGTAACTTTGACTTAGGGTGTGTGTATGTATGTATAAGTAAAAGCACATGTGTGACATGGTGCACATGTGTAGGTCAGAGGACAGACACCCCCCCTTTTTGGTTTTTCAAGGCAGGTTTCTCTGTGTTAACTGCCCTTGCTGCCCTGTAGACCAGGCTGGCCTCGAACTCACAGAAATCCACCTGCTTCTGCCTTCCTAGTGCTGGGATTAAAGGTGTGAGCCACCACCGCTGGCTTTTTTTTTTTTAAACAAAACAAAACAACAACAATAAAAAGACATCTACAAAATAATTAGGAAGTAGTTTTGTAACATATATAATTCACTTCTCAGCTGTCTGTCTGGCACACTGGGATGTGGACTGTGCTCAGGTGTTCTCTGCAGTGTTTACTACCGTACACTGTGTCCAGGATGGGACAGGAGCTTCCTATTCCACAGGTGAATGCTGATGAACTCCTCACTCTCCGTCTCTGGAGTGCCACCAAGTGAGGGCTGGTTCTCTCATTCATCCTAATGACACGTTAGCTCAGCAAGGCGACTCTGAGGCAGCACTCTTTGAGGACTCTGGAACCGGCCAGCTGGCTCGGGTTACCTCCTAATGTTCGGCCCATGGGGCAGCACACGTCTCTCAGCAAGTATCCTGATGTCTTTCTAAAATAAGTCCTTACATAAGGAGGTCCTTGCTAAGTGCCACCTAGTAAGCTGAAGGAGAGAAGTCTAAAGGAAAAAGGAAGAAACTGAAACCCCTGCCCTGATAGCCAGGAAACCACAGAAGCTACGGGTTGCAGGGAAGGCACGTGTGGCCAGCTCAGTGGCTATTTGTCTAGTCTTTCTTTTCAAAACGGTTATTATTTTATGTGTATGTGTGTCTTGTCTACATGCATGTCTGTGCAACGTGTGCATGCCTGGTGCCTGTGAAGGCTGCAAGAGGGTGTCAGCTCCCCTGTAACTGGACTTAACAGGCAACTGTGAGTCACCATGTGGGTGCTAAAAATCCATCCTGGGTCCTCTGAAGAGATGGCTCTTCCCATTGAGCCATCTCTTCAGTCCCCATACTAAGTCTTTTTAAAATAATTTTTCCTGACTCCAAGATTGTGGTAGAAAATTTGGAAAATAAGTCACAGGATAAAGAAGAAAGTAAATGTCTCTACAAAGCACCATTGTCACTGCAGACACTCTCTACGACTGTTTACATTGTAATAAAAATGTTACATCAAGTTTTTTTTTCTTTTTTGTTATGTGGGCCAGGCTGGTCTTGAACCTGTAATCTTCTTGCCTCTGCTTCCCAAGTACCACACATCTAGCTCCACTTTAGTGGTCTGTGTCCTTGTCCTCTCCCCTGACCCCTAGGGACTATACTCTGGGCCTCTGTGTGCTAGGCAAGAACTCTCCCACTCACTCAGCTTGCTTCAGAGATCCATCCCCCTTTGTTCACCTTCCAAGGCCAGAACCAGGTGGGCTGCCACGCCCATCTGGCATTGTGTGGTGTGTGGGAACCCAAACTCTGCTGCTCTTGCAAGGGCTTTAAGCATTGAGCCATCTCCCCAGCTCCAGCCCTGTTTTCTTAGGCAGAAGCTCTACATTCTTTTTTGACTCCCTACTCTGGGTATCTTTCTGTGTTAGTACAGTAGGGCCACTTTGTGCTTTTTTAGTTGATATCGTATTCCATTCTGTGACTATCCTGTACTCCACTTGTGAAGTTATAGTGATTTTTATAAATATCAATAATTGTCCTCCAAAATAGAGACAAGCCATGTGAGACTCCACCAGCCAGGCGTGTACACTCTGACTTTCCTAAGGGGAAATAGGAGTAGTCACTGTGGTTGAACAGTTCAGGATCCTATCACACCCACCGTGACCGTGTCCCTGGGAGGTGGACGTGTGAACAGATGGGTGTGGGGGTCTTGTCAAGACTGGCTTCTGAGCAGCGGGCAGCCTTGTTAACTCAGGGTGGGTTCTGGACCACTGGATTGGGAGCAATTATATTGTAGTGATCTGAAGACAACCAGGAAGACTGACATTTTTACAGGTCAAGTGGTGTTTCCTTCTGGAACCTCAGGAGTGAGTCTCTTGTCTGTAAATCTGAGCTGTAGTGAGTTCTGTAGCAGAGCTGACTCAGCTCTCGTCTCCAGCAACAACTGGGAAAGAGGAAGTGACTTGAAAACCCCAGGGTTTTATTCTCTTTCAGTATGTGAGTGTAACTCAGCTAGTAAATTCTGCTTCACAACTGTAGGTTCCTTTGAGGAGCCCTCCCTGCCCCATCTTCTTTCCGCTCTCATTTTCAGTAACTATCAATACATTGCAGCAGCCAGGGCTTTGCGCGAGGTCAGCAAGCTTCCCGCCACTGGATGCTCCTAGACCTTAGCGAAGCGAGTTTCCCAGATCCTAAGAGTACCAGTTAGCAAGTGCTTTAGAAAGTTTAAGATGCAGCCATCTGTGTGCAGGGTCTTGTGCATGCTAGGCACCATCCCCATCTTGGAGCTACACCCCTGTCCTTAGAAAAGACTTAGGAATTAGATAAGCACTCATTACTTTTGTTGTTGTTATCAAAACAAAACAAAAAAACCCCAAACAACCAACAAACAAATACAGCTTACTTCATATTTGACCCTGAATGTCTCAACTCAAGTTATGCTTTTCTTAGAATTCCTAATTGTGTTTTTTTTTTTTTTTTTTAACCTTTCTCTTGGTAACTACATTTGTTTTCAACTCAATGAAACCGGAAGCTACAGTAGATTTATTTCTTTATCTTTAAACATTTTTCTATTTATCTAAAAATTTAAAGTTTTTTTCTGTATTTATTTGTTGTATATGTGCATATATGTGTGTGCATGGTGTGGTACATACACATATATATGTGTGTGTGGTGTGCACATATTTCAGTGTGTGTGTTTGTGTGTGTGTTTATAGGTCAAAGGACAACATGCAGAAATTAGTTCTCTCCTACTATGTGGGTACTGACCTTCAAACTCAGGTCATGGTTTGATGGCGAGCACCTTATCCTCCGAGCCGTAGCCCTGGCCCTATTTATCTTATTGTCTACATTACTATGCAGAGTGATGGGTTTTATTATGCCGTTTTCATACATAATATGTCATTGTACTTTTTTGCTATGGTAGAGTTAAATGCTAAGAAGGAACTTTAGTCTTACTCCGTTTCCCTAAAACAGCTGTCTGCACATAACGTGCACCAGCCCCCACCCTCAGTTTCCCACATATCCATACTCCTCCCTAGGCCTCAGATCCTCCCACCCGTTACAGGCAACATTGGCATCAATAGTCTTGTTCTTTTTTTGTCTCTGTCTGCAGAACCACTGGCCACCGCTTTGCCTTTCCTTGTGCGCAGGGCACGTTTGTACCGCCCGCTGGTTCTGTTGTGGCCGTTAGACCCTCTCCCACTCCATTTCTCCTTCCAGAAATGCCACCCCGACTGGACTCCAGTTATCCCACTTTGGTTAACACCCACAGGCGCTGAACAGGGTCAAGTATGGTCCAATGTGGACATCCGCCCTTGGGACTCAGACCCAGGTGAATCTGGCCAGCGCCCCGCTCTTGGAACAAGTGATGCGCCAGGAGGACAAGTTCCCCACACGAGACCACATGGAGCAGTGGAAGGATCACCGGGACTACAAGGGCCTCAAATACGGCATCTTCATCATGTGAGCCGGGGCTTAAAGCGGCTGGGGCCTGGCCACAGAGGACCAGGAGGAAAGAGAGTAGGCACAGGGAGCCAATCAGATGCAGGGCAGAGCAGGGCCTTCCTGCATCCCCTGAGCTTGCCCCTTGCTTAGAAAGCAGTCCTTGGGGCGGGTTGAAATCCAGGGACCAGCCACTGCGTGTTCTCCCAATACATCGTGCTATTTTGGACAAGCAAATCATTTCCTTTTTCTTGTTTTTGTGTTTCAGATCTGTGCTAGAGGGTGTTTGAACTAAAAACACCAGCAAGGCCTTTTCAGATTTGTTTGTGGTAGTAGGGATTGGACCTGAGGCCCCACCTGCTAGACACTTGTTCGACCACTGAGCTACACCCCAGTCCCTGTGTAACTTTTAAGTTTTGAAGCAGGGTGTCTATCAGGGAATTGTCAGGAATATCTTGAGATGTCAGGCTGCATCCATTTAGCCACTAGGCCTGGCTTTGGATCCATTTTTCTGCATTATAGTTGAACATACATCAATATGTAGTTGAGAAAGTATTATTATCATTTGGTTGGGAGAGCTCCATTTAATTTCATGAAATATGTCTGAGTATATTGTATTCCACACAAATCATGGGCTATAACTTCATGGATGCATTCCACATTCATGAAGATAGACAGAGATTTCAGTTGTGCCTAGAAAGGTTATGATTATTCTAGCAGAGACACTTGAAGGATGGAGTGTTATTTACTTAGGAACTCATAGAGGAGGGCGATGGGATTGTCAGTTGATACACCTATTATTGGTTGTAATTAGGTATGTTCAGATGTCTCTTAGCTGTGTCAGTGGAACTCCAGAAATAGTAAGTGGCTTTTCCCATCATGCTTTAGTATAGTTCTCACATGCATTGGTTGTACCCATGCATTTCGACAATGCCAGACACCAGGCTGGCCTCTGTACAGCCAGGGTCTCGTTTGACCGTTTCAACAAGCCCAGGAGCGGATAGTATTACTTTACATTTTACAGACAAAGGAACGAAGTCAAAAGAGGTTTTACATCACATGTCAGAGGTGATACCCCTAGCCAATAGCAAACCAGATTCTGGATTCTATAAGCCTCGATACTTCAGAAAGAAAATGATCTGGTCATAGGCTCACTGTAGCTACCTCTGATGTCTACAGGTTTAGTCTCTGGGGTTTCCTTTCTTGTTTCTGTCTCCTTCCCAGGTGAACAGTTTCCTAACTAAGATAACAATTCTTGGGATCTTTGTTCCAAATCCTGAAACTAGAGAATGATGTTTAAGATCTCTTTAGCCTCCCTGACCCTGTGGACTAGAGAGAGGCCGCCTGGATCTGCCCTGACAACTCAGTTGAACATGATAGGACCCTCTGGGGGTCTAGTCCTGCCTCTTACCCCAAAGCCAGTTTTCTATGTGTGTCATTTAAAGGTGACTTTGTGCTAGGTGTGTAGCTCAGGTCTCCAATCCAGTACTGAGGAAGTGGAGGCAGAAGGATCATGAATTCACGGGCAGCCTGGGCTACACGAGACCTTGTCTCAAACAAATAAACAAACACCAAATAATCGATAAATAAACGTTATTTTTCAAAGCTATGCTACTTGTTTCTCCTGCCTTGTTTTAGCACATCTGTCTTTAGAATCTTATTTTACAAAGCAGCGCTCCCCGCAGGGAATTGCTTCCGACTGGGCCTTTGTTAAGGGTCTGCATGTTGAGCTTGAAAGAGCCTCAACAACCCCATAGGTCTGCTTTGATTGTCATTAAACACTCTTAGTTTATTTTAGGGACAGCCTTCCTCAAACACAAACAAAGTTCCTGGGAGGTAGGGTTGAGGCTTATTTCAAAATTTTAAATTTCTTTATATTTTTAAGATTTTAAAAAACTCTCTGTGTGTGGGTATTTTGCCTTCATGTGCATCTGTGTACGGTGGTCATGCATTGCTCGCAGATGCCAGTAGATCTCCTGGAACTGGAGTTACCGGTGGTTGTGAGCCAACATGGGGGTGCTGGGAAGTAAACCTCTGCAAGAACAGCCAGTGCTCTGAGCCTCTGAGCCATCTCTCCAAACCATTTTTTTTTCCTTTTTAAAACCTAATTGTTGGGCTGGAGAGATGGCTCAGAGGTTAAGAGCACTGACTGCTTGCCCTTCCAGAGGTCCTGAGTTCAGTTCCCAGCAACCACATGGTGGCTCACAACCATCTGTAATGGGATCTGGTGCCCTCTTCTGGCCTGCAAACGTGCATGAAGGTGGTACACTGCATAATAAACAAACAAATAAAAAAAAAAACCTAATTGTTTAAAATTTTGATAGTAATTTTGTTTTTGGTTTGTTTGCTTCTTTGTTTGAGACAAGATCTCATGTAGTCCGGGCTAGTTTTAAACTCATTTCAGCTGACCTCAGAGATCTTGATTCTCCTGCCTCAGCCACTTGAGTTCTGGGATTACAAGTATGTACAAGTATGCCTGGCTAATTAATAGTAATTGTTGTTATAAAATGCAATTTCCAGTTCTCAGTAGTGAAGTGCTAAGTGTCCCCCTCTGCTGTTAACTCAGTCTTCACACTCACTTTGCCGGAAGTGTGCAAGCACGCACAGCTGGAGGTCTTCACTTGGATTTTGTGGGTCTCCTGTCCCCATACCCTGAACCAAGAAGAGCATGGGTGCTTAGAACCCTAGTAGCAGGGAACCCCAACTTGCTCCCGTTTTATTCCTCAACCTCCTCACAGAAGGCCTGGGTGTAGCTCTTGTCATTTCACATACAGAAGATTCCAGAGTTACATAGTTCAAAGATGCTTACTAAGCACCATGTGCCAAGCACTCATCTGGGTACTTGAACAACCCTGGTATGGCAGGCTTTGGGTCATCCTTCGCATACAGAGGTAAAACCCAAGAACATGGCTGTTAAGCCTTTCCTGAGGTCGCCCAGTCAGTCCTCAGTAAACCTGTGATTTTTGTTTGTTTGTTTTTGTTTGGAGATAGGATATTATTCTGTAGCCCAGGTTGGTCTCCAACTTAGGATAGCTCAGCCAATACATAGGGAATTCGGGTATGTACCGCCAGCCTTGGCTAGACCTATGATTTGACCCTAGGTCATCTGGTTCCAGGTCATCTTACCCATTCACACAGTGCTGTGGTGGGTGGGGCTCTGAGGTTTTGTGGTCCATGCTGTCTTCCTTCTTAAAAATCCACTCACCGCCGGGCGATGGTGGCGCACGCCTTTAATCCCAGCACTCGAGAGGCAGAGGCAGGCGGATCTCTGGGAGTTCGAGGCCAGCCTGGTCTACAAGAGCTAGTTCCAGGACAGGCACCAAAGCTACAGAGAAACCCTGTCTCGAAAAACCAAAAAAAGAAAAAGAAAAAGAAAAAAAAATCCACTCACCCTGGACAGGGTCTCACGAAGTCCAGGCAGCACTCAAAAACAGTTTTTTTTAGTAAAGGGTTCTCTCAAACTCCTGATCCTCCCAGCTTCAGCTTCATGCTGGGATCACAGGGGTATGCAGCCACGCTTGGCAGTTCTGTGGTTCTGAGATCATGTCAATTATAGTCGGTGATGGCCTCATTCTAAATTCCAGAAGTCTGAGATTTCCACAACTCTCTGGGGATCTTGGGGGCAGGTGGGAGATAGCACTTATTCAAATCCCATTCTCAGCTGTGCTGTTCTCGGCACTCCCCAGACAAGGAGAGCAGTGGTACCACCTTCGTCAGGCTTTGAACCAGCGGCTGCTGAAGCCCGCCGAGGCTGCACTCTACACAGATGCTTTCAATGAGGTGATTGGTGACTTTATAACCCGACTGGACCAGGTGCGGGCAGAGAGTGCATCCGGGGACCAGGTGCCAGACATTGCTCACCTCCTCTACAACTTTGCCTTGGAAGGTACCCTTGCTGGGAGAGGCTGGGGGCAGGAATGGGCGTTAATGAGAACCTTGGATTCTCGGGCCCCTAGCTCTGCCTGCTGTGACAGCCTCTGTACTTCTCAGCCATCTGCTACGTTCTGTTTGAGAAAAGGATTGGCTGCCTGGAGCCCACCATCCCCGAGGACACTGCCACCTTCATCAGATCTATTGGGATCATGTTCCAGAACTCAGTCTATGTCACTTTCCTTCCCAAGTGGACTCGTCCTTTTTTGCCCTTTTGGAAGCGATACGTGAATGGCTGGGATAACATTTTTTCCTTTGGTGAGCTGTCCCAATCTGGGGCCAGGGAAGGAAGCTGGCTTCTCCCATAACTGCCTTCAGGGTGGTTTAAACTCACTCTCTGTTCTCCATGGCCCCTGAAGGGAAGAAGCTGATTGATCAGAAAGTTAAGGAGGTAGAAGCCCAGCTACAGGCAGCTGGGCCAGATGGCGTCCAGATATCCGGCTACCTGCACTTCCTGCTGACCAATGAATTGCTCAGTCCTCAGGAGGCTATCGGCACCTTTCCTGAGCTGCTCCTGGCTGGCGTGGACACGGTACTTAGGAAGGCTGACAGGGAAGCCAGGGACTCCCTGATTTTATCCTGTCCTAGTCCCACCCCACCTCCCAACACTCACTCTGGCCTTTTTGTAAGGGGAATTCCATCAGTGTCTGGGCCCCTGGGGCTTTTTCTTTGTGTCACTCTCTGTGTCTTTGTGTCTGTGTCTATGTCTGTCTGTCTGTCTGTCATCTGTCTATGACAGTTGGGAGATTCCATCCCACAGGATTCCAATTCTCTTGCTGCAGTTTAGATGGGGAATTGGAGACTTGTCCACAAGCACCCTCTGTACCCAGGGCGCTCATTTCTAGCATTTTTTGGTTGCATAATCTCTCCTTGTTATCATTCCATCTGTAGCTGAAATACGACCTCCCTCCATATTGGTCTTTATTCAACCTGTGGATTCATGCTTAGCACAGAGATCCCCAGGAACCCTCATCTCTTTTTCTTGCCATCTTGGTGGCAAGGCAGCTTTCTTGTAGCCACTCACAGACCCTCCCCCCGCTTATCTAGCCTCTCCCCTAGAAATTGCTCCCTTCCTTCATCTTTCTCTACCATTCTATCTCCTAGACATCCAACACACTGACCTGGGCCCTGTATCACCTTTCCAAGAACCCAGAGGTCCAGGAGGCCTTGCACAAGGAAGTGGTGGGCGTGGTGCCCTTTGGGACGGTGCCCAAGCGCAAGGACTTTGTCCACATGCCCCTGCTCAAAGCTGTCATTAAGGAGACCCTGCGGTAGGACATGATTCCATGTGCATAGGGTCTATATGGGGATTATAATCACACAGTAATGGGAAGTGGCTAGGGACAAAAGTGATATGGGAAGGGTCTTCGCACCAGAAAGCCGGGGACAAGTGGGACACCCTTCACCCAGTCTAGAAACAGAGCCTAGACTTTCTTGTCTCTACAGCCTCTACCCTGTGGTTCCCGCAAACTCCCGAATCATCACAGAAAAGGACATTGAAATCGATGGCTTCCTTTTCCCCAAGAATGTGAGTTGCCCTGGAGTGCCCTGTTGCCCAGGAGTGCCTGTTACCCTTGCTGATGGTCACACTGCCATTCTTCCTTCATAGACCCAGTTTGTGTTTTGCCACTATGTGGCATCCCGGGATCCCAGTGTCTTTTCTGAGCCTGACAGCTTCCAGCCTGACCGATGGCTGAGGAATAAAGGGACTGAAAACTCCAGGATCCAACACCCATTCGGTTCTGTGCCCTTTGGCTACGGGGTTCGGTCCTGCCTGGGCCGAAGGATTGCAGAACTGGAAATGAAATTGCTGCTTTCAAGGGTGAGCAGGGATGTGGAGAGGGTTGTGTGGCTCAGGTAAGATGTAGGGATTGAGGGAGAGGAGGGGCAGGGAGGTCCAGGGTAGAAGTCCACAGAGGGAATAGGAATTGGAGATCAAGACTCCAGTGGCCCTGTCCTCTCTCCCTGCCAGCTGATACAACAGTATGAGGTGGCTCTGGCTCCTGAGATGACGGAAGTGAAGTCTCTGGCCCGCATTGTCCTGGTTCCCAACAAGAAGGTGAACCTGCACTTTCTGCGGAGGCAATGCTGAGCTGGGCTCCTGCCTCCATGGGGCTTGGCCAGAAGCCCTGGCATAGCAGTCTCTGGCTGGTCTCATGTCACATGTAAGCATGCCTGATTGACAGGGGAGCTCTATGCCTTTCCCATGGACCCCAAATGTCTGGCACGATCTCTGCTGAGCAGCACGTACTCGAGACAGTAAAGCACCTTGTATCACGCAGCAATCCTTGGGTACAATTTAAAATAAAATGTAAAGTTCCAATTTGGGGGGCTCTCTGTTGTTCTTTTTGATCAGTCAGCATCTGACCCTCTTTTTTTTGGGGGGGGTGCACCTTAGAATCATGGTGATTGCCCTGCTGGACCTACTTCTTAGATCTGAGAGTAGCACATGCTTCCACAGACCACAGTGGCAGACCTGTTACGGACCCCCCCCCCCCGAAAGGGCACCGTGACAGTGCCACTTTAGCTGTAGACAGTAAAAGCCACCACCGGATGCCACGATGAATGCCTATAGCCCCAGCTGCCCTGGAGGCTGAAGCAGGAAAGTCAGTTGAGTCCAGGAGCTTAACTCCTGAGCACTAGAGTGGAGTGTCTGTGTAATGTGACTGGGGATTGCGGTTTGAAGGTCAGTGTTCATAGTCTGTACTTGAGGCAAAGCCACTGATGGGCAACAGTATGAAGATTCCCCCACGCACCCAAGAAAAGTAAAATATGGGACTATCCAGCTGAGCATGGTGGCACATGACTTTAATCCCACCACTTGGGAGGCAGAGGCAGGCGGATCTCTATGAGTTCAATGTCATTTTTACCTACACGGTGAGTTCTGGGCCAGCCAGGGATATTTGGTGAAACCCTTTCTCAAAAGAAGGAGGGGAAGAAGGAGGAGGAGAGAAAAGCAAGGGGGCTAGGGAGAGGGGAGATAGCTCAGTGGGTAAAACACTGGGCACACGAGTTTGAAGACCAAGAACTTACGTGAAGCTTGACAAGGCAGGAATAGTGGAGTCTGGACTCTGGAATCCCCCTGCTACAGTCCCAGGAGATGGGAGGTAGAACAGGAGATCCCCAGAAGCATGACAAAGAAGCCCTGTCTCAAACAACCTCATGCCTGCGGGTTGTCCGCTGATCTGCACCGTGGGACACTCACCCCTGTGCACACACACAGTTGCACTCCACTGTGGCACTCAGACCTGCATGCACACACAATAAAATAAGTAAAGGAGAAAGAATCTTAAAAGATTGTAGAAATACGAATCCACACCTGTGTTGGACTACTGGGTGTGAGAGTCCATGCCATCACAGGGCAGGGTAACAGCAGATGACGAGACCCAGAATTGACTGAGATTAATTTCTTCCTACTTGGTGACCTGAGGTCATTGTAGAAATGACATCCAGTGTATTACAGGATCAGTTCTGTTTCCTGCAGATTCCCATTTGTAGACTGGGTTCCACATACTATATGAATAATTAATAAATGTTTTCCTTATCATTTTGTTTTAAATAAAAGATATCGGAAGAATAGCATTCAGTGCACTAAAGAAAGGCCACTTGCAGACTTTCTTTCAAGTCTTTGAACTCAGGAGACACAAGGAGTTTGCACAAGTTCATTTCAATGGCTGCAGTGATTGAGTAAACCTGTGACATCCAGGGCTGTGGCTTGCTCTTTTGTTTCCTTTTTCTTGATAGCTCATCCTCAAGGATCTGAATCTATCGGGGCATAGGGGACACTGAGGGGAGCAGACATTGCTCAGTGGGGAGAGCTGAGGAGCCCACGGTACAACCATGCCAGGGGCACTGACAATGCCACATGCTTCTGTAGACCCCGATGGTAGACCCGTTATGGGCACCCAGAAAGGGCACTGTGACAGTACCACAGCAGCTGTAGGTAGGAATAGCTACCCGCTGGGTACCATGACGAATGCCTACAGCCCCAGCAGGCAGCTTTAGAATCAAGGGCTACTCAACGTTGGCTGCCAGCAGCTTGGAAGTGCCAGGAGCATGGTGCACCAGCCAGGAGCATGGTGGTGGCACATTGGTGGCTTCTGTGGGGAAAGATCAATCACGGCTCCTAGGAGCTGGGACGTGTATCCAGAACCAAGCACTCTGGACTCCCAGCTAAATTCATAGGCTGCACGCTCACTGCCACATTGAGCTCAGCCCTGATCCAGGTGGAAGGAAAGGTAAGAAGGGACCGGGCGCACAGATTGTCCTAGGCTGATCGCAGTGCCTCTGGTTCAGAACTTTCAGGCTTGACTTGACTGTTCTTAATTTCATCATCCTGGTGTACTGGGCATGCTCAAAGGCTTCTGAGAGTATAGGTATAGCAAGGACAATTAGGGAAGGCTGGAGAGCCTGTGAGAAAAAGGAGATGGTGAGCAAATCGGAAAGAGGACGTGCCCTCCCAACAGGATCTCACCCTACTGACAACTGGGTGGAATTTCTGCCCCATCCTTTGACAGTGGCCCCCCCAACCAAGCATGGTGCCAGGACAGTCTGCAATTTGACAAATCCACTGAGATGAGCAACAGTTGGAAACTTCCTCCCATGTTAGTCCATGCCGATGATAGAAATGCATTTGACAATAGTTTGTTAGCTTGCTTTATCCTCAAGAAATTCTCATCGGGAACAGACTAGGGAGCAGGCAGCTATGCCTTCCCAGAGCTCAGAATGCCCCACCTCCATCTATCCCTTCCAGCAGGACCTCCAAGACCTCAGCTGGAAATGGGACAAAGTAGTGGTCTGTAAAGCCTTCGTTGACAGTTTCTGTGGGGACTGCTCTATTATGCCTGGCACTTCTGCCATCCTCAAAGTACCCTAACTTGATATCTAGGAGTTCTGAAAGACTGAGGGACTAGCTCTAAAGCTCATGGCAGAGCCTACCTGTACCAGAGCAGAACCAGCAGACGGGTGGGAGAAGATGAAGGCCAAGTTCCCTAGATCCTTTCATGGACTTCCGGGTGAGGAAGATGGCTTGGGTACTCTCAGGCACTGAGGGCATCGATGCCAGCGGGGCTGAGCACCAGCGCTTGAAGTATGTCAGAGAGGGAGACCACGCCCAGAAGATGCTGGGTCTCATCCACCAACACCAGCCTGTGCACCTGCGGGTCCACAGTATTCAGGGAGGGGCAGAGCCTTTGGCTACAGCAGCTAATAAGGGGAAAGCTTAACACAGCTCAAGGAGCAAAGGACATCTCCTGGGAACAGCTGGCCATGGCTCTGACCACTCAGCTGGCTGTGGATCTTGGCACAACAGCCCTATGAACAGGACCAGACACCTACCAATGCAGATGCCAGAAGTTGGTCATGAAAGGGAAGGCAGGCCAAGTGCCCAGGATACGGGGATGGCGAGAGCTATGCAAAGAAGAGCTAGGCCATCTGTGCGGAGGGCATGCCAGGAGGGGTGCAAGGTACCTGTTCCCGTGCAATCCTGTCAATGACTTCACCCAGGCTCTCGTGGGGCTGGCAGGAGAGAACCCCCTCCAGACACAGCGTCCTCTGCCTCAAAGCTTCGCCCACACTCATGTCCAGATGGTTGTAGGTTTGCTGGGCAGCCAGGTGCTGGGGCAAGGGGAGAGGGGACTAGATGATCTCATTAGCAAGGCTGCAGCCTGGGGGGAATTGCACTCCGACACACTTGCGAAGGGTAGCCACAGATACTTCCCACTGATGGTCACACTACAGCCTCCCTGTAGCACCCCCAGTCCCCTCAGACACTTACGATGACATCAAAGCGGGAGTAGAGGCCCACGACCTGACCTGCAGCAGGGGATGGAGAAGAAAGACAGGGAAAAGCACAGCTCAGAACCAGGGTGCTCTTCAGGGGACATGGGGACGACTTTTGAAATTAGTCCCTTGATAGTCCCCCAGGCTGCTGGCTTAGTCGTGGAGCATCATACTGTCTCTACCTACAGATAGACTTAACATCACTGAGACTTCTGACTTAGGCTCCTGTGAGCTGCAGGGAGAACAAGCATCACCTGTGAAATATACCAGCCTCATAGTGTACCGGCATTAGTCATTTAGGTTCAATTTCTGGTTCACAGGAAAAAGGTACAGGGGCAGAGCCATCTCCAGGAGGCAAGTGGACAAATCTGGACACGGATTTTTTTTTTACCTTGTAAACTACATCTGTGTGTGTGTGCGTGTACATGTGTGTGTGTGTTTGTGTGTACATTGGAGTGCCACACACATGTGGAGGTCAGAGGACAATCTTCAGGTGTCCGTTCTCTCCTGCTATGTGGGTCCTGGGGATTGAACTCAGGTAGCCAGGCTTGGCTGCAAGTGTCTATACCTGTGAAACCATTTCTATAACCTTGGCATATAGAAAAACTAATTCAGACCTTTCAAGTGATTTGGGTCATGAAAATGAGAGGAAAGGGAACAGTATTAGATTTAAACAAACTCCACAGACAAATGAAGAAACAAGAACTATGAACTTCAGTTGAACTTGGCTTGAACAAGTTAATCGTTTTTTTTCCTTCTTTTTTTTTCTTTATAAGTCATTCTTGGGAGAAATGGAAAAATGAGAATAAGTATTGGAAATTGGGTCACAATAAATTATTCATCATTTTAAAAATAACTTTTGTCAAGCCGGGTGGAAGTGGCGCTCACCTTTAATTCTAGCACTGGGGAGGCAGAAGCAGATGGATCTCTGTGAGTTCAAGGCCAGCCTGGTCTACAATAGCTAGTTCCAGGACAGGCTCCAAAGCTATAGAGAAACCCTGTCTTGAAAAATAAAAAAAAATATATAAAACAAAACTAACAAAAAAACTTTTGTCTTTAAAAAAATACTTTAGGGGCCAGTGAGATAGCTCAGTGGATAGAAGAACTGGTTGCAATCCTGACACCCTGAATTTGGTCCCCGGAGCTCACACAGTGGGAGGAAAGGACTGATTCCTGAAAGTTGTCCCCATGTCCTCATATGCACTGTGGCACACGGGCACCCACATGCACACACACACCTAAATAAATAAACAGAATGAAGACCTTTACACACTATCCATTATGACCGCATGTGCATGAGCCACAGAATGAATGTGGAGGTCAGGAGCTGGTTCTCACCTTCCCCCTTGGTGTGTGTTCTGGGGACTGAACGCAGATCACCAGGCTTGACTGGTAAGTGCTTTTACTGGCTGAGCAATCTCAGCTGCCCAGTTATTCAAGGTTGGGTAGCATTAAATACACTTCTTGTAAGAGACAGACTGGAGTGCATAGGGGTGACATGATCCAATGTCTGTAATTTACTTTCTTATTTCGGAAAAATGAGCTGATCTTGGAAATATGTTGTTCTTTATCATCTTATTTCCTTTGAAAATTTTCATATTTGAGACTAAGTTAAAAGCTCTTCACAATATTCAACTTCATTCTATTAATATAACTTTAAATTACCTCTTTTTGTGGATGTAGTGTCTGCGTTCTCACATGTAGGGATATGAGTGTGTGTGATCATATGTGTGTGTTCTCATATGTGTGGGCATGTGTGTGTTATGTGTGTGTTCTCATATGTGTGTATATGTGCGCTCATGTGTGTGTTCTCACATGTGTGGGCATGTGTGTGTATGTATGTATGTTCACGTGAGCATGTGTCTATGTGTGTTTTCACATGGGTGGATATGTGTGTGTGTGCTCATGTGTGTGTTCTCACAAGTTGGCATGTGTGTATGTGGGTATTCTCACATGTGTAGGTGGGTGTGTATTTGTGTATGACCGTGCATGTGCAGAGGCCAGTGATCTTCCTCTATTGCCTTCCACATTGTTTATTCAGGCAAGCTCGCTCACTGAACCTGATACTCAAGAACTCAGCTAGCTACCTAGCCTGCTTTTTGTCCCAGGAGTCCCCTGCTGCCACCTCCTGTGACCGGGGTTTGCAGGCAGGCTTCCAACCACCCCCACTTTTATGAGTGCCAAGAAGCTTGAATTCTGGTCTTTATAATTATTCATGAAGCACTTTATCCACTGAACCATTTCCCCGGCCCCAACTTTGAAATACCTGTAGCTACAGTCTAACTAAAGAGATACTCTTGACATACCTGTGGCTGTAGTCTAACTAAAGAGACACTCTTGAAATACCTGTGGCCAAGTCTAACTAAAGAGATGTTCTTGCTGTTCCTCTGACCTTTCTAGAACAGGACATCGGGGTCTGGCTGGGGGCATAAGATCTCATGGTCAGTTTTAGGGTGAACTAATACCAAACACCAAAAGGATCTTCTGTTTTCTATAACCACAGTCATCTTATTGCAGGTAATCTTACCAACCCTCCTTCGAAGGCAGAAAGGATCAGAGTCCCCTCACACATGGGGCACGGTGGTGCATCCCCTCAAAGTACCAGCATTAGATGCAGATGCAGAGGAACTGCGATGAGTTTGGAGCCAGTGTGGGCTACATAGAAGTTTCTGGGCTACAGGGTGAGACCCTATCTCAAAACAACATCCCTGCCCAGAAAAATATTCCCTTTCACAGTTGGGGAAACTGAGGCTTGGAAAGTTCAAAGCAAGCAGAGACTTCTAATCCCACTCCAACTTGGGCCCTACAGCAGATGACCTGCAGATTCCGGCTCCATCCTGGTCAGGCCCTTCCTTGCCCACCCCTTTGCCCTGGTTGTGGTACCAGATTCATTGACCACAGGCAGTGCAGACACACGCCGGTCCACAAAGATGTCCAGCGCGGTCAGGATCGGAGCTGTTTCCAGAACTACAGCCAAATCTCGGAATGTGCCGATGCCCAGATCCTGGATAGTGCGGCAGAGGAAGGAGGGACGTGGCAACAGGGCGCCCTGTTGGGATGAGACACGGTGGTGATCTCATCAGATCAAGCAGCCCCCAGGGGCTCCAGCTTCTCCCTCCCTTTGCCTGGGCTAGGGCACTTGACCTTCAGTATCTCCCGTGGCTCCCCGCTTGCTCCCACCATCCCAGGCTCACAAATATGTGCAGGAATTTGAGTAGCCGCTTGTGCGTGAGGATGTACAGCACAGCGCCAGAGACCGGGTCCAGGACGGGCAGGCGGTGGATTCGGTTCTTGATGAGGGTATAGACAGCTTCAAACAGACTTCAAAGAATGGAAGCAGTGAGACAAGGAGCAACATGGGAAAGACTCTCCATCTGAAGCCCCCAAACAGGGTACCAGGGCCCCTCATCCCTCTGCTTCCCAGAAGAAGTATGAATGAATACAGAACTGAGTGGGCTAGCACACAGGCAGGATTTAGGAGGCTGAGGCAACCCATAAAGCCCTTGTTGCTGGGCCTGATGACCTGAGCTCAATCCCTGCATCCCAGACAGTGGAAGAAGAGAACCAACTCCTATAAAATGTCCCCTCACCTCCACATGTGAGGCATGATAACACACACACACACACACACACACACACACACACACTCAAGCAAGCAGTAAATGTCACAACAAGAACCTTTGAGACAGACAGAGAAGGGGTAGGGCTCAGGTGAACAAACGAGATGTTTACCTGTCGTTGGGAGAGATAGAGACAAGAGGCTTGAAGCAGCCTTGTAGGTAGATCTCTAAAGAAAAACCCAAGTTAGGCCACAGGAGTTCCCAGTTACAGCACCCTGTCTCCTAACAGCTTCCCTTGCTGCAGGCATTGAGGTTTTCCCGGGTGACCTGTGCCCTGTAGGAAATCCCACCACTGTCCCAGGCCTTGGGCCCTAACTTTAACCCCACAGTCTTCTCCAGCTTACCCCTCCAGGTCTCAATCTTATGTTCTTCAATCTCGTATATCTGGACCTAAAGGCATGGGTGGGACTTTAGGGTCAGGCATGAGTCCCAGAGCATCAGGCCTCCTGAAGATGACACCCCAGAACTCACCAGGGGGGATCGGTAGTAGCGGTGCAACACCAGGATGAAGTCTGTGATGGTGAGCATGCCTGCAGGGTTGCCAGGTGACAAGTTGGGCAAGGTCAGGCCTAGGTGCAAGGCTCTTTGAGGACACCACCCTGCTGGTGTTCTTCCACCAGGGGGGATCCCGCCCGCCTCTCCTCACCTACAAAGCTCTGCTTCTTGCTGTCCCACAGAGGGGCTGCCCTCACACCGTTGGCCACCATGGCAAAGAAAGCCTTCTTAATCTGGGGGGCAGGAACAAACAAAGGCAGGATGAGGACTGGAAGTCCTCATCCTCCCCACCTGCTGTCTCTACCTGGATCCTCCCATGGGGTCTTCATTCTGGTTCTTCTCCACATGAGTCCGCCTCTTTCTCATGACCAGACCACTGCCATCATGATCACCACACAGATAAGGCTGCTTGTGCCCAGAGGCACCGAGAAACCATCACTAGACACAGCAGGGTTTCCGCATGGAGTCGTGTGCATACAGACATGGCACCGTTTTTTGCTCATCTAAGCACTCGGTATTCACATAATGTATTCAGAGCTACAACAATTTCCTCACTAAATTGGATGTTTATTTTGACCCTGTTCTAAGCAAAACTCCCTCTATGCGCTGAGTACACTTAGTTCACATCCTGTTCCTTCTGCCCAGTCTCTTCCGTTTCCCTAACTCTTCCCCTCTTCTCTCTTGTCCTTTTGTTCTCTGTTTCTGTTATGCTGATGTTTGGTTTTCAGGATGGCCAGGAACCTGAGACCCTCCTGCCTCAGTCCCCTCAGTGCTGGGCTTACAAATGCGGACCACTGCGCCTAACTCTCTAGTACACATCCGGTGCTTCACGGAACCAGACTGGGCTCTGCAGATGACACATATACCCCACCTCGAGTGTGTTTGCAACATTTACTCTGCAGTAACAGCGATAACAATGAAGTCAGTTTAGCCAGTGGCAGAACAGCTACCAGAACACTAGCTGTTGTTTCCTGTCTCCAGAGTACCCTCCGCTTGGTCCCGAGTGACACTGTGATGTCTTACACGCACTTCACAGTTAACAAAGTGTTCTTTCCTTGTCCCGGGTTGTCCTAAGACTCCTTTGAAACAGGGAGGAGCCAGCCTCTGGTCCCCAATTTTAGAGATGACGGAGGTAAAGCAACCAACCCCAGGTTTGGCAGATTCAAGGTGACAGAGTGTGGTGGCAGTGAGGGGAGTCCTCGCAGAACGTGCTCTCTCCCTACCCTTCCTAAGACTCTAAGGAGCCCTGGAAAGGGACTTGAAGGGACTATGACTTGATCCATCCAGGAGGTTATGAATGGGCAGCCACAGAGGCCCCAGGCTGGGCCCCGAGTTTAACTAGGGCCAAGTCAGGGTCTTACCTCCAGCGTGGTGTCAAAGATGACCAGTTTGGAGCTGGTGGCCATGGCATCATAGCAGGTGTGTTCCTGCATGAAGTGCATGTAGACTTGGGCCCCAGGCTTCTGCAGCTCGTCATCCCAACTCAAGCTGAGAAGGGGGGCATGTGGGGACGGGCAGAACCGTGGCCTGTCCTCCCCCAGACCTTCGAGCTCACAGTCCCAGGCCTCTGGGTCACTCGTGTTGGAACCCACTGCTGAGGCTGCACCATCGTCGGGCAAGAGGAGGTCCCACCCTGCTGGGGAGGTCTCCACTTCGGCCAAGGGAACAGCTTGAGCCAAGGGTGTGGCCTTGGGGAATGTGGCTTCCTGCCTGGTGGACTCAGCAGCTGGTCCCGACTGGGCACCTGTTGGGGAAGAAGGCAGGGCGGATAGCAACTGCATCTTCCAAAGCACACTCCCTGTACTTTCAGTGATCGGCAGAACTGGGGCACCCGGAGGTTGTGGAGTCTCAGCGTCCTAACAGACAACTCTCTCCCATCTTTCAAGGCGGCTGCACTGGGGCCCTGCCTTGGCTGCAGTTACTGCCTCTCATAAAGGGAGACCGAGGGCACAAGATGAGATCTGTCTAGCTCCATGTGATGGAGAGATCTCAGGTCAGGCCCCACTCAGGAATCCCTGCTGTCCCTGTCACCGCAACTGACCTTGGCCTCACCTTCTCCCAAACATGGTGGCTCTGCTTCCTCCACAGCCTCCTGCCTGGTCCATCTGGAAGCCTTGACACCCCGTGGTGCACGGGTTCTTTCTGGGCTGGTGGCCACAGCTGGTGATAACCATGAGTTTTCTCTTTGTTCTAAGAAGCTCATCTCTGGGAGGATGAAAGGACCTGTTTGATTAGAAGGGCGTGCTACAACAAAACAAACACAATGTCATTAGTGAGGGTATTGGGAGCTTTCAAATACCCCTCCCCAGACATATTTTTCCTTTTCTGTTCATAGAAATCTTCTGAGGCAGATACTGTAAATCGGAATAGTATCCCTATTTAGCAACAAGGGACCAGAAACTCAGAGAGGTTAAGCAATTTGCCAAAAATCACACAGCTGGAAAGTGGTAAGGTTAGCACTGGGGTTCAGATCTTCATCACAGAGGAAAAGGAAGGTGGGGGGGGGACACACGCTGGGGAAAGGAAGGAGGGAGAAGGGAGGAGAAGGGAAGGGTCCTCTCTTGACAAAAACCAAGCTAGGAGTTAGGGGTTGGGGTTCAGAAATGTGGGAGACAAGGGAGCCATTGAGAAGAGGCTGGTCCCACAGGCAGCAATGCTTCACCCACCTTGACTCTCTGGACCCCCTCTGTGGCTCCAGGTCAGGGTCTATGGAATAAAGTGTCTGCTTTGTTGTGAAAAAGCTTCCTGTTCTAAAGTCCCTGGCTTGTCCCCTTTAAGAAGCACCCCCACCCTCACACCACGTGTATACAGATATGTACAACATACACACTTGCACACTCCTGACAGCCTTAGAATCCCACACAGGCACGTACACGCAAGATACATACATGCACGGATCCGGCCCGCTCACACCCACAGAGTACAGTGCACGGGTCAAACACACGCGCGCGGGTCAAACACACGCAGACACGGCCACATGCTTGTTGTCTTTCTACATCCCAGCGCCGGCCCCCTGGGACCCCAGTACCCCAGGCAGTGTGTGTTTCAGCTCAGGCTCCATGCGGCCAGCTCTAGTCCGCTAGCGAGTGCGCGACAGGCGGCGGCGGGGTGGCACTATTCTGGGCTGGCCCCTGGCAGCGTGACCTCAGGGATCGGGTTCTCTCTGATTGTCAGGTCTTGAGAGGGAGCGCTCAACCGCAGTTGTTTTCCTCACCGCGGCTTGGGGGCGCTGCGGAGGTGGAACTCTTATCTTCAAACTGAGAGTTCAAAGGAGGAAGGTTGACAGTCTTCACTTTCTCCTCCTTGCAAACTTCCTTAGCCGAGGGTGGGATGAGTTAGGAAGGATACCCTCGAGGCTGGAAGTAGGTGAGGGGGCTGTGGGTGGTCCTGATAGAGCAGCCAGGGGATATCTAGATATTCTCCCTTGGAGTCCCGCCGGCCAATTCAGGGTGAAAGATGAAAGTGATGGAGAGGGCGAGTCAGGCAGGTCGGCACTCTTCTGGTCATCTCAAAGGTGCGAAATGGGATTGAGAGCAAGGGCTCATATCTGTGTGCAGAGGGAACAACACCTGAGTCGATCTGTGGTTGGGAGATAAGAGAGTATGCGGGAACCCAGCCCCTAACCCACCATGAGTACTGGCTGTGCATTTCCCTGCGCCAGAGGGGAACCCAGCCTGTCCGGTGGTGGCGGTGGCAGCTCACCCCCTTCCTGAGCATTCCTAGGGCCTGAGTCAGAGTTCCAAATGGGGACCGCTGACCCAGCTGCTCTAGCTTCCCTTTCCCTGCCCTCCCCTCCTCTTGTCATTCCAGTCTCTTCCATCCGGACCCCATGGTCCTAGAATGGACACTCAGGAATAGACTATTGCATTTCCTGCTGGATTTACTGAACGTGTTTCCTTTCCTCCTTCAAAGCACCTGCAGCTGCCTCTGAGGGGAGGGGGGGCAGAACTCTGCAGAGAGAGGAGTCTTTGATGGTGCAGGAGGGTTTCTGGAGCCTGGGTCTGTTGCTAGATAGTGGAACTTCTGAGGCACAGCAAATGGGGCCAGCTCAAAGCACAGGGGGCCGTCAGCACGTGCTTAGGCGTTGCAGACGACAGACACTCCCTGCCATGTGTTGTGGAAATATGACAATGGTCCACAGCTTGCCAGGGTGCGATGTTTCCCTTGCTAGCTGCTAGTCAGTCTCTAAACTGACTAGCATTTGCTTTAGGTTTTTAAGGAGCACCATTTCCAAACACAAAATTCAGATAGATAGTTGGTTGTCATAACAAAGACCCGATTTAAGAATGCCTCAGAAGAGCAGAGAAGGCAGAGGCAGGTGGATCTCTGTGAGATCCTAGAGAGACCCTGTCTCCAAAACAAGCAAGCAAGCAAACAATGAATGCCTCAGGAGATTAAGAGGTGGCTCAATGAGTAAGAACTTAGCCTTGTAAGCTTGAGGACCTTAGTTCAAATCCCCTGAGCCCACAGAGAAAGTTAGGTGTGGTCACTTTCTGTGAAGGTGTGGGAATAGAAGGATCACTGGGGCTTTCTAGTCTCCAGACTAGTTTCAGGTTTAGTGAGAGACCCTGTCCCGGGAAGGATTAAGGCAGTGACTGATAAAACAGAACACCTAACATCTTCCTCTGGCTTCTGAAAATGCATGCGTACACTACACTACCTCTCTCTCTCTCTCTCTCTCTCTCTCTCTCTCTCTCTCTCTCACACACACACACACACACACACACGCACAAGAGTGAGAAAGAGAGAGAGAGTACTTCAAACAATAATAGTCTCTAGGCAGTCTAGATCTGATAGGGTGGTTTTGAACTCATTCAGAGCATCTTCCATCTTGAATATAAGATGGCCATCCCAGCTTCTACCTTACCCTTGCACTAGCATTCCAGCCAGAAGAAAGGAAAAGGGGAAAAGAAAAGAATTCAAGCATCTTCTAAGCCCTAAAGTGGAAGTTACTCCCTCGCTTTCACTTATGGCTAAATGACCAAATTTAGCCACGAGGTCATGTTTGGCTTCAAGGGGCAGGGAGCTGAGGATCTCAGTTATTATTATGGGCAGCCATTTCAGTTAAAATTCAGTCCTACCTCGAAAAGTCAAGAAAACTAGACAGTAGGCCCATCTGGCGGTCTCTATTACGGGATGTTTTCGTTCCATCATCCAGGCACGGAAACGAACCCTGAGGAAACAGGCAATGCTCTCCAAGGCCATTTGGCAAGCGGACAGCCAACATAGACCTTAATTGGGTCTGGCTGATCCCCAGAGGGACTTTTCATCACATCCAGCCAACATATTTTAGCCACCCAGGGGCCAGCAATCAAATGAGCTGAAAGATATTTGCACAAGGAAGGGCAGCTCTGCACCAAGGAGGACGCAAAGGACACCTGCCACGGGGCACGATGCTCCAGATCCCTGCGCATCACGCAGTTAGGGAAGACTTTCCAGAGGAGGAGGTCCTGTGTGGAACACGGAAACTGGAGCCTCCTAGGAGAAAGCGGTGGTGTGATTTGAACCTGCTCTGAATCTGTGCAGGGGACATGAGGTTGTGCTGGGGGAGTTGGGGTGGCTTTTCCAGCTCCACTGTATCATGTCCACAGAGCGGACGTCTCACGCAACCAGTGTAAACACAACAGTGTCAGCTACTGCTGTTACTATCAAAGCCCTACAAGAGAGAGACACTCAGGTTATCAGTAGAGGGCACTGGAAGAGGCAGCAACGGTGGGGCGGGGACTCCAGTCCTTGCCCAAGGTGTTCCAAGGCAGTGGGATTGGTCAGAGGGCACACACGGAGTAGGAGATTTCTGAACTAGAAATGAAGTTCAGTGATAGGCAGCATTGATCTCAAATGTGTGAGAACCCGAATTCCAGGATTACAGCATACAAAGAAAGGAAAAGGAAAGAAAATGAAGAGGAATGAGAAGAGATATGGGAATGAACAGAAGAGAAGATGACTGGGAATGTACCTCAGAGTGCTTGCCCAGCCTGCCTGAAGCCATGGTTTGATCCCCAGCTCCTCATAAAATCAGCATCATGGTGCATACTGGTGATCTCAGCACTCAGGAAGTGGAGGCAGGGCGTCAGAAATGTAAGGGCATCCTTAGCTACATAGGGAGTTCAAGACAGCCTGGGATATATGAGACCCTGTCAAACACACACACACACACACACACACACACACATACACACACACACACACTCACACACAAACAGACAAACAAACAAACAAACAAAAAACAGCCGGGTGGTGGTGGCGCACGCCTTCAATCCCAGCACTCGGAAGGCAGAGGCGGGAGGATCTCTGAGTTCAAGGTCAGCCAGGTCTACAAAGCGAGTTCCAGAACAGTGAGCTACACAGAGAAACCCTGTCTTGAAAAAAAAACCCACAAATAAATGTGCCAAGGAAAGGTGAATTCCTTTTAGAGCCGAACAAGTTTTCTCAGAGAGCAATACCAGTTTGAGAGAGAGCAGGCAAGAACTCCAAGTCTAGAGAATCCTGGGGTGTGAACAATGTTTACATGGTACCATTGGCTGTGGTTTCTCAAATTTGGAGCCAAATAAGCCTTCCAGGAGTTTTAAGGGTGTCAGTTTGGCAAAGAATCCACAGACGTAACCATCAAGGCCTCTCTTGACCCTTCTCTCCAGTTATCACCTACCCTGCATGTCTCCAATAGCTGGAAGACAAGGTATGCCACCCACACACAGCTGCAGTGGATACTGGGTAAGGGCTAGCTTCTCATGGGCAAAGCTTCCCCGTACGGGAAGCTGAGGTCCAGAGAAGAGACAGCAGTCAGTAGTCAGGCGTGTCGCAGGGACTTAGGGGTTGTTAATATCCAGTGGCCTCTGTATATTGGTCATCCTTCCCTATTCTGGGATGCATTAATGATCCTGTTCCTCTTCCACCGTCATTAATGGACATTATGAAGGACAGGTTAAGCTATGGGACATAAGAACAGGGTCATCTGGTAATGGGATACTCATGCCTCAGAGAACTGATGTCCAGTTGGAATGGACTCACTGCTCTCAGACGATATGAATGTTTTCTTCTGGTGGGGTAGGCAAGCCCATGGATTCTTCTCTCTTTTTTCCTCTGTCAGTAAGACCCCACAATTACATTTCCCAGCTTCCTTTGCAGATTTTGTGCCCATGTGACTAAATCTGGCCAATGAGATTTCAGCAACATTATCACGTGCAAGTTTATAAGAGTGCCCTTGGAAAGCAGAAACACCCCATAGGCCCCTAATGGAGTTTATTATATGATAGTTAGCACCGGCTTAACCATTAGATCACCATGGTGGAAGACGTAGGTTGAAAACGGCAGAACCTCCTCAACCCTCATCTAGATCTACTTACCTATCTTCATCTAATTTGTGTTGCTCTTACAGAACATTCCAGACTGGGTAATTTATTTATCATGGATCTGGAGGTAGAAGGAATCCAAGATCAAGAACCTTCAGCCATCAGGGACTTCATGATAGAAGGCAGAAAGGCAAGGGAACAATGCTTTAGTGTAAGAGAAAGCTGAACTCGCTCAAATGGAAAACCTACTCTCAAGATAACAAGCCTACACTCATGAATGAATGCAGCATTGATCCATTCCCAAGGGAAGACTCTGCCCTCATCTCAGTATAGTCAAATAGGTGAGACCTTTCCAGCATATGAACGCTGGGGACGCAGTCAGGTCATAGCATATCCCCAACCCCATCGGTATCAGGCTTTCTTAGTTCTGGACAGATATGTTGGAAACAAATTGCCTTGTTGGAGCCACCGAGAAGTCGAACCTTTGTTCAAACTGCCAAGCCTTTCTCTGGCTAGCATGTGTACACCATTGAAGTGGGCTAGGCTTAGCAGTTCCCGTGTGCTGATAGAATACTATGCAATGCTCAGTATCTCCCAGACACTGCAAAATGCCTCACAGGCAGCTGAACATGTGGTCCCTTGTGGCCCTGTGAGGTGAACCGTTTTATTACTTCTGTTTTGTAAATAAGGAAACAGAGGCAAAAACAGGTTAAGTAACTTGATAAAAATATCAAGTGATGGAGACAAGACTAACATTTCCCATTTCTGGATCCCAGCAGCCATCACTGACATGTGAGAAGACTTGTGCAAAGTTCAGGCCTGGCAGCTACTGGGTGCTCAGTAAGTGGCTACTATTGCCCAGCACCACGCCATCTGCTCCCCACATCCCCAGACTTCCAGTTCCAAAAAGGCAGACCATGTGGGATAGCTCGGATTCCCACCTCCACAGCCATCAATTGAGCTGACCTCTAGCGGGGACAGAGCTGTATGACTCTGAAAAGCCTGTGGTTTTCCATTTAACAGGGTTCTACCCTTCCCTGCCCTGCCTCGACCCTGCCCGGGCCCTGCCCCCTTCTCTGCACCTGCTTCGTGACCACTGCTCCCACACCTGCTCTCGCTGCCAGCCCCACCCCACCCATCCCCTTGGGCAAGGTGAATCAGCAGAAGGCGCTGCCCTCAGCTATAGACTTGGTGATTGGTTTTCATCTCTGGCGGTGGAGTTATGTTTCGTGTAACCCTACTTCTTGGCTGTCTTGCACACTGGACATATAATAAGGGCTGCGTGCCTTGACCCTTGGGTGAATTTGGCAGCCGTCACTGCAGAGCAGATTTGTCTGGCACATGAGGTCGGAGATCCTGTTTAAAGTGTTACTTTATTATGTCAAAGGGATGAAAGCACCTTGAGGAGGTTGAGGGGAGTGCCCTAGGTAAAATCTACCACTGATGAGTTGCAAATAGAGTAGCCTGGGCCTAAGTGGTCCAGACACTGAGAAAGTGTCCTCTGTGATGTCACCAGGCACAGAGCCCAAAAGTTCTGCCCACCCTGTCTATGGCTGGAGAACAGCACGGGTGTAGAGTCCCACGGACCTGGAAAGAACCAGTGTCTCGTTAGTACCATCCAGGGAACCTCACGGGCTTCCCCAGGACCTTTTTCTGGAGGGATACCGCGGACGGTTGTTAGTATCCAGAATGTCTTTGCCTCTCTTTGGGCAAACCTTCAGGTCTCCCTTCAGGGCTTCAGAGATGTTCTCTGTCTCTGTCTCTTTCTTTCTCTGAGAAGGCACATGCACGGCAGAGGTTGACAGCAACCTCTTTCTCAACAGTTCTCCATCTCTTTTTAAAATTTTATCTCCTGGGCTGGAGAGATGGCTCAGTGGTTAAGAGCGTTGCCTGCTCTTCCAAAGGTCCTGAGTTCAATTCCCAGCAACCACATGGTGGCTCACAGCCATCTGTAAAGAGGTCTGGCGCCCTCTTCTGGTCTTTGGGCATGCACACAGAATATTGTATACATAATAAATAAATATTTAAAATAAATAAAAAAATTTTATCTCCTGAATTTCTCACATTTTAAATATTCACTTTTGTTTGTTTTAATCATATGCACCTGTGTGACTGACTGCGTGGGCGTGTGTAAGTAAGTACGGATGCCTGTGGAAGTCAGAAGAGGACATCAGATCCCCTAAAGTTGGAGTTACCGGACTGGTGTGAGCTAGCCAACATGGGTGCTGAAACAGAACTCCAGGCCTCTGGAAAATCACCTAGTGCTTGTTAACCATGGAGACATCTCTTTAGCCCTTCACCTTACTTTTGGGGACAGGGTGTCTCACAAACATGGAGCTCACCAATTTGGCTAAACTGCTGGCCTGTGAGTGTCAGGGATTTGCCTTTTCCCCACCCTTCCTACCCCAGTGCTGGTATCACAGGCACACATGCCTGCTGTTACTTGGGTGTGGGGATCTGAACTCAGGCCTCCATGCTTGCTTGACAGGCACATTACTGACTGAACCATCTCCTGTCCCCTGAGAGTGTATCGAAGTCCTCAAATACTTACATAATGCTGAGATCCGACACAAGATGGCGTTTGGTCCTCAGCCATCATCTGAGTGTACAGGCATCCACAGCTGCACCCATCACCCATCTGGTCCTCAGTTTGGTAAGCCACACAGGTTGATGCTCATTTCTGTCATCTCTTTTCCTCTCTCCATATCTGGCCTCCTCTTGAGCACATTTGATATTTTCGTTGCCCCTTTGCTATGCTAAGTCGCAGGAAATTTCTCGAGATTTTCAAATTTGGTATCTTTCCTGCATTGCTGCTGGTACTAGAACCATTCTGCTGTTCACCTAGCAGGTTGAGCCTGGAACATTCTGGAAGGCTCCAAAGATGTATGTCCCCAGACCACCTCTGCTCTCAGATCCCACAAACCTGGTGGGGAGCTCTCCTTTCAGGGACTCCCCAGTTTTCCCACTGGCTCTTATTTTGTAGTCTCTTGTCGTGTGTGTGCCTGTGCATGCATGTGTGCGTGCGTGTGTGTGCACATGTGTGTGCATATGTGTATGCCTGTGTGTGTGCGCGCCTGCGTGTATGCCTCTGTGTGTGCGTGCGTGTGTGCATGCCTGCGTGTATGCCTCTGTGTGTGCGTGCGTGTGTGCATGCCTGCATGTATGCCTGTGTGCGTGAGTGTGTGCATGCCTGCGTGTATGCCTGTGTGCGTGCGTGTGTGTGTGTGCATATGTGTATGCCTGTGTGTGTGTGCGCGCCTGCGTATGTGCCTGTGTGCGCCTGTGTGCGTGTATGTGTGCACGTGAGTGTGTGCATATATACACATGTGCATGTGCAGGCTAGAGGACAACCTTGGGTGCTCTACCGCAGGACCCATACAGCTTGACTTTCAAGGCAGGGTATTTCCTTGAGCAGAAGCTCACCAACACAGCTAGGCTGGGCCACCAGAGAGCCCCAGGGATCCTCCTGTCTCTACCTCCCCAGGGCTGGGATTATAAGAGAGCACTAACTGCATCCAGACAGAAAACAGACGATGGTGAGAATGATGGGCCCTGAAGCAAAGTCGCTGTGCATAAGAGAAACAGGGAAGGGTGAACCTGTGCTGGACAGCCCAGCTGAACCTGGTTATTGGAGGATGTTATTGGCGAATCCAGGTTGGACAGTGGAACTGAACTTGACAATCATTTTAACTAGGTATTCCCTGACCCCCAACACACCCCCCAAGACTCTGGGCTAGATAAGGATTTTCCAGGGACCAACAGCTGGGCTGTGGGATGTTTCCTTGTGGAATAAATCGCAGGCAATGTTGGTCTCTTCCTCTGTGGCGGTTGCAGGACGTGGGACAAGGACCCCAGAACTCTATTGCCACCTCTGTATTTGGGAAAATGGCTAAGATAAAAGGAAAACATACCAGAGTTCCTGGTTTAAATTAAATAAAAGCCGGCCCTCTTCCTGTGCCCCAGGGATCCAACCAATTTCCAAATTAGTTAAAGCAAATTCAATTGAGTTCACCATGGCATGTGGCTGAAATTATTCTAATGTCTTCTGAGAATTAATTCGGGGTCTCTCCACCTTCCCTGAGAGTGCCCCCAAGGCTCAGCCCTCGGTTCTGCAAAAGAGAAGTAAAATCAGGTTATAAAAATAAAAGTCACCTCTAGGCCAGGTTCAAGCTCTCACCTACAGAGCTGCTGTGTGGCTGTCCTCAACAGTTCTAGTTCACCACGAACAACAGCGAACTCTGCGGTAAGGCTGAAGTTACCTCTCAGTGGTTCCTCTCTTTCGCATCAGGCTCTAGGTTCAGCTCCGAGCACCAGAAGCCCAGAAGCAAGCAAACAAACCAAAAAAAAAAAAAAAAAAAAAAAAAGCCCAACAAATTTTGGGTAGAGTGTAGCTTCCTTGTTTTAGGGTGTCAACAGAGTTCTTGCTCGGCCTGGCCGCAAACATGCCTGTACTGGTCACGTGACTCTCAGCGAATCACAGCGAATATTCACTGAGCCTTGATCCCCACATTCCTATAATGGAAGTAGTAATATCCCCCTCAAAAGTTCAAAAATTTTAACACCACCCAAGGGAGCACATTACGATTCTTAACAGTAGCAAAATTACAGTTATGAAGTAGCAACAAAAGTAACTTTATGGTTGGGAGTTAGCACGGTATGAGGAACTGTATTAAAGGGTTACAGCGTTAGGAAGGTTGAGAACCACTAATCTAGAGAAAGAGAGAAACAACTTTCCCCAGAACAGCCCTGGACCCCTGGTTCAATCTGTCCCTTCCCAGGACTTTGACCACAGCCTCTGGGGTCCAGTCAGCCCCTCCACTGACCCGCAAGGAGCTTTCCTGTCTCTAGCGCTGAAGAGATGAGGCTGAGTTCTTCTAATTTGTTTAGGATATGGCGCCCTCTGCTGGCCTCTGGGATCCACCACACAAGGATTGTGGGATTTAGGACTCAGCCAGGTCCACTCTTCCCTGTCCTGTGGGGAAAGCGCCAGACTTGGAATACAAAATTAGCACTCAGCTCCCAAGACCAGAACTTTGGCCTTCCTGGAGCGCACCGTTGCTGGGATTAAAAAAAAAAAAAAGCCAAAGACCGACAAGTTGCCAGATTGGGTCCTCCAGCCTCTCAGGTGTGCCAGACGCATAGAGACCCCTAGTTAAGGGTGAGAGACCAGCTTGGGTTGTCCTTTGTTGTGCTCAGAGACACTGGGTCCTGTTGATGCCCCTGGAGTGCCGCCCTTCCCCCTCAAAGCAGGTGTGAGTTTAACCTCTGGGCACAGGTCCTGTCCCCCAGGTGCCATCACCACTTGACTCTCAGTGTATCTGCTGTATCTGTGTTCCATGTACACTGTTATGATTTAGCACCTAAAGTGAGTGCCTCATTTTAACTTAAAGTTCCAAGGTGATGGAGCCATAGATACCTCTGGCTCTTTGGGAATTATCCTCATTTAGTGCAGGAATATTTGATCCTCACCCTAAATTCTTCACTTAAAAAAATATGGGCCATAGAGAGATGCTCTGTAGTTGGAGAGAGAGAACTTGATGCTCTTCCAGAGGAGCTAGGTTTGGTTCTTAGCACTCACGTCAGGCAGCTCACAACCACCAGCTCCTTTGGCCTCTGCAGGCAACTGTGCTCATGTGACATATGCACATAGGCATAATAGAAACAAACTTAAAATAATAAGAATAATAACAACCATTATCTCGTCTGAGTGTGGAGTGCAAACCTGTAATCCTGGAACTTGGGAAGTGGAGGAAAGAGGATCAGCAATTAAAGATCAGCCTCAGCTACATTGCAACTTTGAGGCCAGGCTGGGGTTGTAGGAGATCCTGTCTCGTAAAATAAAATAAAATAATAAAACAAACAAAATAAAATAATTTTGAAGAAGATGCCTAGTACCTTTTTTTTTTTTCTTTTTGAGACAGGGTCTCTCTGCATAGCTCTGACTGTCCTGGAACTCACTATGTAGACCAGGTTGGCCTTGAACTCAGAAATCCACCTGTGTCTGCCTTTTGAATTCTGGAGTTAAAGGCATGTGCCACCACGCCTGACCCTGGTATCTTTTGGTACTGGTCTTTCTCTGTGCCTTCAGGATGCTGTCTAATCCTTAGACAGCTTGGGGTAGTTGACCCCGAAGGATAAGATCCTCAAGGAAGGCACAGGCCAGCTAGTTCTCTGCCTACATTTTCAGAACTAATAAGTGGTTTTTCTGAATTTTATCATACTCTGGTGTCTTAGTTAGGGGTTTCTGTGAAGAGAAGCCATGACCACAGCAACTCTTATAAATGAAACCATTTATTTGTGATGGTTCACTTACTCTGTAGAGGTTCAGTTCATCATCATCATGGTGGGACATGGGGACATGAGGCAGACATGGTGCTGAAGAAGTAGCTGAGTGTCCTACATCTTGATTTGCAGGCAACAGGAAGTGGTCTGAGACACTGGGTGATAACTTGAGCATATATGAGACCTCGAAGCCCACCTCTTTGGTGACACACTTCCTCTAACAGAGCCACACCCACTCCAACAAAGCCACACCCCCTAATAGTGCCACTCCCTTTGGGGGCTTCCACATCTGAATTCAACTGAAAAGATCTTGCTTGCCTTCTGAAACGTAAAGCAAAATGACCCAAAGTGGTAGGTAAGCTGTAATAGTGGAGTTAGGGTCTGAGCAGTGGAAACACTTGGTGTGCCGGGGAAGCAAACAGTGGGCATGTGAGCGCAACAAGTGGGACTTGTGACAAAAGTAGGGGCAAATGTGGGATACGGGCATGTCAGGAGGGCATTCTTGAGCATGCTGGGTATCTTGTGGTTCACTCTGGGCACGACATCAGCAGTGGTGTCTCCGTAGGAATCTGATTTGCATTGGGTGGCTTGTCTAGGACATGCCAGTGTGGGGTAGACAGACTGGGGAGTGAGTGGGTATTGGGGAGGGGGTTGGCATAGTATCACAAGCGGGAATGAGCATCTCACTCCTGATGGTGATCATGGCTCTATGGATCCATGTAGGAAGGAGTGCAGTCGGCAGGTGTAGGTCTCCAGTCATCTGGTCCTCCAGAATCAAAGCCTGGGTGGCAGAAAGTGTCGCTGACCTTGCTGGGGCTGCCCACACAACCAATGACAAAGACGGTAAAGCCATGACCCTTTCAGCTTGGCAAGGGACACTACAAACTCTCTCAGGTACTCTGGGCTCCTGGGTAGGGAATTGGTTGAGGCTTCGTGGGCCCAGCCCTATACCTTCCCATCTTTTACAGAAGTAACTCAGAGCAAACCGCTTACACTCCAAAGTCATCTCAACACTGGAGTTGACAAAACCCATCCTGTTACCAATCCCTTTTACACGCCCAAGGTGGCCTCACTTCCCACTTGGTGAGTCTCCATATGAATCCGAGATGTGAGACTTACCTGGCTCACGGGGAACCAGCCTCTGGCCAAGAGGTGCTGACTTGGAATGGAGGCGCCATCAGAGGGAAGCGTAAGGTTGGTCTGTGGGGCTCAGTGATAGCCTTCCTGCGTGGGCTGCGCCCTCACTCAGTCAGAAGGAACAACTGGAGGCCATGGGCTGAGGGGCGGAGAAGAACGGCAAAGAGTGGTATGTGGCAGGTGTATCGGGCCCAGTGCCATGTTCACCTGGGGCTCCACAGGCATTTATGAAGCACACACTCTGGGCCAGGCCTGTGCCAAGGGAGAAATGCTTAGAGAAATTCAGCAAGTCTCTGACCATGACTGTCCCTGAAGAACACTTAGCCTGACGAGTTTGAAACATTTTCCTAATTAATTCCCCACCTATTTGTTTTTCCCCAATTAAATAGCTGATGTTTTAATAACAAAATTAGCAAGGCTGGGATGTGACTCCGTTGGTAGAGTCCTAGTCTAGCATGTAGAAGGCCCCAGGTCCAATCCCCGTCATCGTAGAAACCTGGGATGGAGATCACACCTATAACCCCATCACTGGGGAGGTGGAGGGGGTGCACTAGAAGCTCAAGGCCATCCTTAACTACTCAGTCTGGGCCAACTGAGACGTTGGGGAAAAGGCATTACATTTGGGGCTCTTTTCATCACTTGGCACAATCTTATAGTGGACGTTTCTGGTTCCAATACAATAAGCATACTTCACATTTTAAAGCCTGTGTAATTTTTTGAGGGGGTGGGTGTGTGAGGCTTGAGATAGGATTTCTCTGTGGCTGGCGCCTGTGTAATAGTAAACATGGCTACTTGCGGCTATTCAAACACTCAAAAATGTATTTAGAGTTTCACATACAGACAGGGATTCCCCTCCCCCTTTGAGTAACTTCTTTTGATTGCAATTCAGAAGTCCTATGAGGTGTCTGATCGCTGTTGGCACCATCTCCAGAAAGCAAGGCCAGATGAACAGCTCCGTCCCAATGCACAAGGGCTTTCTCCGCGCCTCCTCGAGGCTTTAGTTTTGGAGCCCCTAAGCCGTACTGCTAGCTTTACAAGCTGGACTTCATTCTGGGTTCACCCCCCGCCCCCCACGCCGTGGACAAGCTTTTATTCTTTCCTGAGGAACCGTGTGCCATTGGCCAGGAGATGGCGCTGTGGCCTTGTCCTTGGGTGAGGTGGCTCTTGGAGTTAACCAGGGTGTGGAGTTAACCACCAGGGCCTGGAGAGGGCCCAGCCTAGGAATCCGATGGACTCTCCAACTTCTGGTCTAAGCTTAGAAGACCTGGTTGGGTGAGGAAACGCTACTATATCCAATAAGCTTCTGTGCTTGTCCTCCACTGAAGAATACCGTCCCCTTTCTGGTAAAAAGTCCAAGAAAAGACAGCAGTCCAAAGTTAGGAAGTGTCACCCTCAGGTAAGAGATTCACCTCAAATCCTCTAACACAAAGGGGAGAGAAAAGAGGAGAAACATACACACACCCAACCTAAATGCTTTATTTCCTCCAAAGCAGATTTAAAGTGCTGGGAAGTGGAGGGCTTGCAGGAGGTATCAAAGATCTTGGGGGAAGTTGGAGTTGAACGGGGCTGTTGGAGACTTGAGGTCAGAGAATACAGGAGGGAGTGGGCGGTCCGGAGCTTAGGGTTTGACCAAGAGCTACTTGGACAGCCAGGACTTTTACTGGATACAAAATTCAAAAAGGCTGAGAGACAAGCAAGAGTTAAACTGGGCTGGGACATGAGGATGCCAAGAAAATCGCAGGTTGTATTTGGCCAATGGGTGCCAGTGAAAATTTCACGGCAAGGAAATGGTGGGATGATGTTTGAGCATCAGCAAAACTGACCTGGGGTTTAGCTCACTTGGGGTTTTTCTTCCTGCTTTCTAGAAGACATTTCTATTATTGATCTCCTAGAGGGGTTGATAAGTATGCCACTATCTGCCTCCTGGGGTTTCCCTTACCTTGACTTCAGTGAAGCTGCCAGGCTCTTTGCCTCTGTCTGCAGCCCCTCCTCTGTCTCCTCTGCATCCTCATCCCTCATTTAGCTATGACTGACCGTCCTTCCTCAAGGCTACTCTCAGCCCCATCCTGTCCCCTGGAAAATCCAGGGTAATTGTACCCTACATCACAATGACTCAGCCCATAGATCTAACTAATTGCACCCTACAGCCCTCTGCTACAGGCCCGTATATCTAACTGCCTGCCTGACAGATCTTCATGAATGTTTACTTTGGAAGTATCTCGAATTCACAACCCAAACTCCCTGACACAGCCTTACCCAATGTTGATCCTCCCTAAGTTAACACTCTTAGCAGGATAAATGACACTTTACTGTTAGGGGTTAAAACTCTGAGGCATCCTGATGTTTCTCTATAGCATATAGACAGGCCTTCCTAAAGGTCAACCCTGTTTTCTGCAGTTCCATGAGGTTTTTATAGACTTGGTTCAAGGACCATGTAGAACTCAAAGGTTGCCCATATTGAAGATAGAAGGATATTTCTAGGCCGGACATGTGATGTACCATAGGGCCCTGCGTTCAAATCTCAGCACTGCAAGGAAAGTAAGACAATGAATTTCTTTCTACCTTTGTGGCTTTCCTATCTGTAAAAATAAAATCTGACCATGTGTCTATATAAACACACACACACACACACACACACCTTTGTTCTCCAGTGAAAATAGCAAATACAGAAAAGAGCATAAAACAAGTGTACAATTAATTGCACACCAATGAAACAAACTTCTGTGAAAAGACACAGACTTTTGCTAGCGATCCTTCTCCACGGGCGCCTAGAGACACAACTGCCTCCTTCTCTCAGCCTCAGAGCAACTACCCAAAATTTTTACAAACTGCTCTTGGCTCATCCCGCTTACCAATGTTTGACCTCATGAGCACAGGAAAGTTCTCTGCATCCACTAGACACCACTCTTTGGATCTCATTTCTCGGACTAGTCCTAGGCAGTCATAGGCATAGTCATAGGCATGCTCTCCTGAGCTCCTGGGCAGCCCAACCAGGAGGAAACATGAAATGATCCTTCCTGTAGTCTGTGCTGCTTGTGTGATTCGAATGCTGTGTTTTGCAGGGTTATGTTCAACCCTTCATGTCTACAAAGTACAATCTGTGTGGGCTGTCCCCATTCACCCTGTCCACTTTTCATTTCAGTACAGTATATATTATATGAAATAGTGACTAACGTAAGGGTTCTGAGCATGCTCGCGAGGGGCCAGGCCCAGTGGGTTAGATGGACCGAATACATTGCCCACGAGGGATAGACTCGGTTGAGAGAGGGTTTATCTACAGCCTCATGGTAAGTTGAGCATTTGTAAGTTGCCTGTCACCTAAACACTGGAGCACAACTTTGCATCTTTTGGTTTTTATATGTGTTAGGTCTCTTGTACTACAAAACTCTCCTTCCACCTCTTTTTCTTCCTATTGGCAATGAATTTGGCTTGTAGCACTCCATGGCTTTTGAAACAATAATTAAAAAAAAATTCTGGGTCAGGTGGTAGGGATGCACGCTTGTAATCCCAGCACTTGGGAGGCAGAGGCAGGCAGATCTCTGTGAGTTTGAGGCCAGCCTGGTCGGTCTACAGAGTGAGTTCCAGGACAGGCTCCAAAGCTACAGAGACTCCCCCATCTCGAAAACAAAACAACCCCCATGAAAACCAAATAAACAAAAAAGATCACTCTCATGACTAGAGAGCTTTTCTTCATCTGATCACCCCAAATCCCTGAGCCTAATCGCCTACCAGACTTGTCACATGCTTGCTGTCCCCACCTGTGCACCCCCATGCTCGCTGTCCCCACCTGTGCACCCCATGCTCGCTGACCCCACCTGTGCACCCCCAAGCTCGCTGACCCCACCTGTGCACCCCTATGCTCGCTGACCGCACCTGTGCACCCCCATGCTCGCTGACCCTCACCTGTGCACCCCCATGCTCACTG